AGATTCTAACCAGCTTTTAGTTCAAGTTTGATCTGTTCACAAAAGCCTTAAACCAAATTTCTTTGCAGATAAGTCTTTTGCTCACCCTAGGTTCTTTCAGGAATTCAATTACACTGTCGTGTCAATTAACAATCCTAAAATCAGAAGTCTAGATGATCAGGCTAGAAATCAGTATGAAGAACAACCTATGGTGAAGAACATCTAAAGATATAGAATCCTAATCTAACACAGATAACTCAACAATCCATCAAAATCCTTTGTGAGAAACCCTAGATCTAACAAGAAAACTACTCAGACATAATCAGAGAAGAAAACATCATGAATAGATTAGAAAGCATGAAGATATCAATAACAAAAAGGGGGTTCAAGATTACAACTGAAGCAGAAGGAATCAATCTCCCCAAATCTCTCAAGAAAACCTAAAACTCTCTATCTCTCTGAAAAGTCTCAGCCAAAGCGTGTATGAATCAGAAAGAAAGTCTAAAACCCTAAGTAAAAACGAGTAAAGTCGTGTTGGGCTTCTGTGGGAAACTTCGGGAAAGTTTGGGCTTCGAAAACTCGAGACGGTTTCTGCTCCGCGATAGCGTGTCGATCGATACACCAAGGATGGTGTCGATCGACACCAAGTCCTGGTGGGCTCAGATGGGCCTCCGAAACTGTTTTCTCTAGTACTAAACTCCAAATGCTCCAAAAAGCTCCAAATTGTCCACATTTGCTCCTAAGTAGCTCCAAACACTAAATTACATGTAATCACATAGAAACACTAGAAAAATACCAAAAACATAGATATATAGATAGTAATATCATGGTCAAAATCCCTAAAAACCATGATATATCACATATCATTAAGTTCATTGATCGGGTGGTCCATAATCGGCTTTGCTCTCTTAAGCGACCAGACTCCTCCAACCTTGAAGACGTCTGCGTATATGGCTAGCTTCAAGAAGCTAGTTTTCGGTTTTGTTTTTTTTTTCTCGAAACTCTTATAAACTTTATTTCGAAAAGCTAGATCTTTCTAACAGGATGCATATATATTGTAAAGTGGTTTTTTGAGTTAGAATAAATTTTACATTCGTTCAAAAAAATAAAAGCACATACAAAAAAAAAGAGAGACTATCTTTGATCAAAGAATAACAAAGCTCCAATTAAAGTGCAACACACAAGAGTTACAAAGTTTTCATTTTGTCAAAATCAGAGATATATGTTCAAAGCTAAGGAATAGTGTCAAAAGTGAAGAGAAGATGAGACAAAAATTGAAAAAACATTGCAGAGAGTGAGAGTTGCCAACATGTGTATCCTCTAGAGCAACTAAACTTGTAAACTTATTTTTCTTATGATAACAAAACCATTACTAAGAGTTGGGGAAAACGGTCTTTTTCAACCTCAACTATTTGCTGGCGGGTTTTTCCAACCCAAACTATGACCCCCACTCGATTTCAATCCAAACCCAAAAATAATTCAAAATCAAAACCTAAACTAATGTAAATGAGCCGATTTCAACAAGACGCAAAACAATGTTAGTTCAGAAGTTAACAGTTCTCAAGGTTATTTAATTTTCTTTTCAAGGTTTGATGAATGCTGTAGAGAGAGAATTACCCAAGGTTGAGCAACCGTTAACTTTCGAACTAACACCGTTTCGCGTCGTGTTGAAATCGGCTCATTTGCATTAGTTTCAGGTTTCGATTTTGAATTATTTTTGGGTTTGGGTTGAAATCGACTAGGGGTCATAGTTTGGATTGGAAAAACCCGCCAGCAAATAGTTGAGGTTGAAAAAGGCCGTTTTCCCCTAAGAGTTGCCAGTATATGTATGATGTTGTTTAATTTGTTTTGGTTTTTTTAAATGATGCATTTCGGCTGAACAACATCTTTTTTTTTTTTCTTTTTCTGATTTTTATCTTCGCTGAGATCGTCTTCAAGCTTGGTACTTTCAGGATGAATCCTCTAATCTGAGAGATTGGTACGATTTGGTTTGCAATATTTTCTGCGAAGACTGTAAAACTGTAAAGTAACCAAGACAAAAAAAAAAAAAAGAGAAAGTGCTAACTGCTAAGCAAAGGCTTGAACGGTATAAAACTTTTCATGTTTTAAAAACGTGATTATGTTGAAAACATATAATTCACAAAAATTTGCGCGGAATTATAAAATGTGAAAACTAACAGCTGTTTTTTTAATTTATTTCGTACGTTTTAAAATTATAACTAAACCAAAACTTGAGAAAGTTCTTTTTTTTTTTGTCAAACCACTGATTAAATAGATAATATGAAAGAGTTAGCCTCCACTAGGGGGGAAGAGTTTACAACAAGCAAAGCATTTTTAGCTAAAACATCCGCATCACTATTCTCTAATCGCGGGATAAAATTGAAACAGATAGAGGTAAAGGAGAGAGAAAGTTCATTTATCTACTAGTTTTTATGCGTTTTTGAAAAATTACTTTTTTATGTTTAAAATTGTAATCGTCTTATTAATTTCGTTATTTTATAATTCACTTATTCCGTTATTTAACTATTAATTTGACATTACAATCAATCCCAAATAAAACAATGATAGTTTCTATCTAACTATCTCAAAATTGGTTCACCTGATTGTTGGTTTCTCTTCGGCAGGCTCATGCTAGAGAAAAGCACCGAGTGAATCAAGTTATCAGAGTTTCAAATTTCCGGGAATTTCTCACCTTAGAGAGGATTGTGGAACTTTAATTTATGGTCGAGATACGTCTTGTCTAATTTTTGGGGGAAAAAACTGTTCTATCTCCTTGTATTTTTATTGGCTCATTATTTTTCCTCATTCATGATAAATTATACTCTATGTTTTATTTCACTATCAAAAAACTGAAAAGCAACAATTAAGAAAGTTCATCTTAAAATCTATGTTTCCAAATCACAGATCTCAGTGAGTGCCTAGCTATGGCCCTCCTTTTGATGTCCTTACTAAGACAGAAATCAGAACCAGATGGTGTTCAGCCCAAAGGCATCAGTTAAAAAGAAACAAACAACATCATACATATATTGGCAACTCTCAGTAATGGTTTGGTTATCATAAGAAAAAGAAGTCTACAACTTTAGTTGCTCTAGAGGATACTACATGTTGGCAACTCTCACTCTCTCGAATGGTTGACCAAGAGAGAAAACTTTCTTTGACAATTTTTGATTTATTTTTAATTGATTTTAATTTTTGCTATTTCACAATATCCAACAATATAATCAAATGATACCACAAAAGTATGAAATGATATTAAAATTGTAGGACATAAAATTTTGAGAATATAATGAGATCGGAAATATTTTATGTATGTAATAAGTTAGTAACAAATATTTGAGTTGTTACATTAATTTAAACGTTTTTCTGTTTTAAAATAAGTTTTAAAAATTTTATTTTTTAAAATAGAAAACTGATAATTTCAGATTAAATTAATAGATTAATAGATTTAATTAAATATTAAAAACTGAAAATATTCAAATATATAGACTTAATTAAAAGCTGAGTAAATATTATTACTTTCTCTTACATGGTCACATTTATTATCTAGTCAAATTTAATTAATCATATGATACAAAAAAAAGTACGATACATAGTCAGTTTTAGTCAAACTCCACATTCGTTTTTAACCATTGTCTTGCATAATCTTGCGGTTAAGGTAATTTGTATTCAATTCATATATTCAGTTATAGTTATTTTAAGATATTTTCCTTTTTGAAACGATAATAAAAATAAATGGAAATAACTCTTTTATTATTATATATGTAGAAGATCCATTAAAGTGAAAACATAGTAGCAAATTGAGACTTTTGTCTAAATAAACTCTTCACCAAAAACTAAGAAATCATTTTTTTTTTTTTTTTTTGTCAAGGAAACTAAGAAATCATATAACATAATTTCTTGGTATATAATGGGTATCACAAAAGCTTCTTTAACTGGTTTTTTGTTGATAATATTAACAATTTCATTTTCTTATTACAATGTTTTGGCCGTGCGAGGTATGTTGTGTTTTTTAAAAGATTTTCATTTTTATTTTATTTTTCAGTTATCTTTGATCACTTCAAAAAACAACTATTCAGAATTAGAGAATTAGTAACAGAAGATTACATGTATCTGTGTATAATTTTATATTTTAAAATGTATGTGTATTGTTTTAAGAACTTTGAGGGAAAGAATGTTGTTATTTGGACATGTATGTATAGAATTATAATAATAATGTTGAGTTTTATATATGTGCAGTGATCAAACCAGCAAAACCTGGTCGTTATCTTTGGAAATGTGAAGGTATTAGATTTGATATTAGTGTATGCAAAGTTGACTGTCTTCAGTATGGTTACAATGATGGATACTGTGTTGGAAAACCTGCATGGTGTGTTTGTAATTATTGATAATGATCGATTATCATCATAAGTAATTGGCGACAATTTCGGCAGCTTAGCTCACGGTTATTACCGATAAAAATGTTCGAAATCGTTTAAGCACAATCCAAACCAACGAATAAAATTTAGCATAAAAATATAGTCTGACTTCCATTTTTTTGTTACGTTTAGTTTTAGAAAGTTTGTCAAATTATTAAGTTACTTTCCCTATCGTGTTCTTCATTATTTGGTATATGGATGTTTTAATGAGGGGATAACCTAAACTTTTCGAAAAATTAATAAAGAAAGAAAAAGAAAAGTTGAAAAAGAAGACCACTTGTGGTCAAATAAACAATGGTCAAAGACGACAACTTTGGTCCCCAAATCTTTCTCATCCTTTGACCAAATTCACATGTCCCATCTCCTTTACCTTACTTTTCAACTCTACCCTTAAACTTTTCCTAACATAAATTTTAAATTATATAAATGACATCAAATAACATAAACATTAACAAATAAACCCTTCAAGTAACATAAATATATCACAATTTATAAAAAATCCAAAATACTAACAAATTCCAAAATCTAAATTTGCATTCTTTCACAAAAGCTTTTTGATTACATGATTCATCAAAGTTTCTATCGTTTTATAGAAAAAAGTACTTCACTAAGATCTATTTTATATTAAAAGCCTTTGTTTTGTTTTCAAGACGATTCCAAAATAAGATCAGCAACGGCGGCTCCGGCAAGATCAGCGGCGGAGAGAGAATGATTATGATCTCCTTCATAAGTAACAATCAACATCGACGAATCATCAGCTGCTCTCTCCACATGTTTACGAGCTGGACAACCTCTTACGCTACTACACTTATAATATCCTCTGTTTTTTCAAAATCAAGAAACAGAGCACAACACAAACCAAAATCAAATTCAAATAAAGTTTCAATTTTTATCAAAATTCTGTAATTGAGAATTGAATTTGTATGTTTACCTTGGATGTGGAGATCCTTTAATTGGCTTTTGTCCGTATTTTCTCCATGAGTAATCGTCCGGAGGTACATCGGACATTTTTGCACTTATCGCCGGAACCCTAATTATTCTCCTCTGTTTAATCTTTCTGAAAACAGAGCAAAACAAAAAAAAACAATCTTTAGATCGAATCTAATATTAAATCTACAAACTTTTATTGTTGGGTCGAATCTAAATACCTTTTCTTGGAGCAATGACAACGACCGGAGGAAGAAGCAGAAGCGCATTTTCCGGTGAGAAGATTCTCAGAGTTACATTTTCTCTTTGTTGATTTTGAGAAAGAAGAAACCGTCGTGGAGAGGCTTTGAGTTTGACTCCCAAACGGCGCCGTTTCAGAAGGACGATGAATCTTCTTGTGTTGGTCTGATTCCGTTGTTACAGAGGAGAGAGATGAGAAATCAATCGTTTTCATCGATGAAGAAAACGAACCTTTTCGTATCATTTGCGGCGGAGGAGGAGGAAGAGGAGATTGAAACGTTGTCGTTTTTGGTTCTTCTTGATTATTAATAACCGGAGAAATAACCGGAGCGCGTCTAAACCGGGCGTGTCCGGTTCGAGTTCGATCTAGAAGAGATATGACTCTTTTAAACTTTGAAACCGCCGCATCCGCCGTCGTGTTACGAGCTGATTCAAGATCTTCGGCGGTGGTGGTGGCGGCGGAGGCGGAAGAAGAAGAGGGTTGATCAGAGTTAAAGCTATCACGAGACATTAAACCGATGAAGTTTTCGATACTTTTGAGTCCTGAAGCTGCTGCTTCTTGAACGGCGAAGCTATCAGTTCCGACGCCGGAGATGTAATTCCGAGTCATGAGCTCCACCGCCATAAAGAAGAAGAGAGAGAGTTGTGGACTTTTTGGGGTTAGAGAGGACTAAGTAAATAAGAGAGAAGAAAAAATGAATAGAAATTTGGTATTTAAAGTGATGTATTTTGTATGGTAGGTGACTGACTAATGTGTCACGATTTAGACTTTTCCTATGTTCATAAATAGAGTCTTCAATTTTTGTTGTTAAGAGTCAAAATTTCCTTTTTTTTTGTTATTAGATACAAAAAGTCAAAAGTTTATACAAAATTATAGGATTCAACCATCACATGTTGTTATAACAGTAGTGATAAATAAGTCTTGATCATCACTATTTTAAAACGTTTTACGACTATTTCTAGAGGTATCGGTGCATGTACAGGATCTTTACTTAAAAAATTTGGGCACCAACAAAACATATGAAAATGATTTAACCAAGAAAGATGTCATCTAGATGTTTGGATAGATTGCGATGAAAAAATGGATTTGCAACCAAGATTATATTTAAGAGTTTTTTTTTTTTTTTAACAACATTATATTTAAGAGTTTATGAACGTTTTGAAGAAAAAAATGATAGCTAAAGTAAGATGATCTTATCAGATTGAAGATGAACACAAACAAAAATAATAATATTTCTTGTGTTTCTAATATATTAATGTTTTCAATTTTTATCTTGTTCTTAAGAAATTGATTTTTTAAATATGAAAACTGAAAATAATTATCCCATTTTATATTTTCTTGCCACATTTTCAGTTTTACTAGATTATATATTCTCCCTTCACTCATAAATCATCTTAGATTAACTAATAATTCAAAATTTATTATTTCTTTTTTTTTTACAGCAAAGATTATTTCTTAATATGTATGAAAAACTAAACCATTAACCTATTAGAAACATAGGGAATATATTTGATTATATGTTATCTTGTAAAGTTTAATATCGTTTTTAAGACGTGAATCTTTTTCGAATTTGAAAACAAAAACTTAAAAAAATTCAAAATTTATTTTTAAAACCAAATGAGATATTACCATTTGGTATATAGTGTAGTAATTTGTATTAGGATATTAATTATCAATTCTCTTTTAATTAATCCATTACTCATATTTTACTTCACTACAAAGAGAAAGAGAAGTCAAAGTTTTATGCTAAAGAAGATGAACAAACGGCTAAATCCACTAACTCTAATTTTTTTTCTTTTTGTCGTCGACAATATTTTAATCTAAACTTGATAAAAATACATGTTGTTAATAAAAGAAAATTAATGAAAAAGAAAATGTTAAATTAAATTGTTTTTTTTTATGGAGAGACAAATAAAGATAAGTGTGATGATAAGTCATAACGGACGAAAAAAGAAGAGAGGGCATCGAGTCAAACTTTCGTCGTCAGCCGTATGATCTGGTTTCAAAGTAGGACCCAACAAATTTTAACTTAATCGCTGAAGTTTTTTGTCTTCGCCAGCTTGGTGGGGTTGACTTTTCGTCAACATCCTTTTTGTTATTTTATTCACTAATTTTTGGTGTTTACGTTTATTTTTATGGCTTCTTCTTCACTAATGATGCTTTAGGTTAGTTGTTGTAGAAAACACTTAACCCATAAACACTTTATTAAATTGTTTCATTACAAGTGAAGTCTAATACACTATCTATGGATGATATCATACTAGAGTAATTTCTTATTAGACTTTTCATTTTCTACACACTAATAGCTCCAACATATTTTGTTATTGTATAAAATTTAGATTTAGACCTCACATTAGTTTCATACACTAATAGGTATATTTTCTTTTTGGATTTGGAGTATTGGTGGCAGTTATATACATTCCCTATCATACATTTTATTAATGTTTTAAGATTTTAACATACATATTATAAAAATTCATTTACTTTTTTTTTCGTTTTAAAAAATGAAACATTATTGATTATCTACCTAAACATTATTCAACCAATGAAAAAATAAATTGTACTATTATAAAAGGACTTATAAAACAGAAATAGTTAATTAATTTTACATTGAAAATATAAAACATCACTTAAAAGAAAATAATTTTTACAATGTTTTTGGGTTGTTTACTACATCATCACTAGGATTTATTCTTTAATTTTTTGCTTATATTAAAAAAAATATCTTAGCATTCACGGCGATCAAATCTTCTTTCTTTCTCTTTTTAATTACAAACGATTCTAGAACAAATAATACCCACATTACAATGATTTACAGTAAATAATCAATGAATATCTTTATCTTTGGTATATGGAACAATGACATACAATTTTACACGATAAAGTTTCTTTATTAATATGCGCTAATTCGTATTCTATAGAAACCTAATTCTAGATTTAGTGTAGAAGGTTGGAAAAAGAAAACATTAGTGTGAAAATATTCAACCTTTAGTTAACCAGATCACGACGAGACATTCACACGGTAAGATTCATAGATGACTATATGTAAATGTAACCAATTAATCTTCTTTTTTGTTTTTTTGTTTTTTTGTTAATTGTAACCAATTGATAAAAAAAAAAAAAAAACAAGAAAAAAAAAGAGAGAGTTGAGAAAGAAGAAAAACAAAGTACACACAAAACTTGACTGAAGAGGCACTCAAAGTCAAAGACGGAAAGCTGACGAAACCATTTTTATTCCTCCCAGTAACGTGTTTCTTTTGCCCTATCACCGAAAGTTCCTTCACTATATATAAACATTTCCTCTTCATTATTTGATTATAGATTATTCGTAAAACAGTTTTAGTTGATGATAATTTAATGAACATATTACATTATATAATTAAACTGTTGCATTCCATCACCAAAATCGTGTTTTAAAATGTATTCGGATTCGTATAAAAATGAGGATGTGTAGTTTTCAGGCTTTGAATGAGATAGACCTAGGGAGAGGCATTTAGTATGCGTATTATTGTGAACGCATTTAAAGTTCCCATTTTACAACCTTTGATAAAAACGATTTCTAAAAGATGAGATCTAAATTCGACAAAGACATGGAGAAATAACATATGCGTGTGTATTTGTTAGTTATTCATTTGGGTGCATTCAAGTGTGTGATTATTATTGTTATTGAAAATATTTGAAATATATACATATTTGTGTTTTTATTTTTCTCAATTTTATTCTAAAATGTATTTGGATAATTACTGATAGAAAACTCGGCCCAAAATTTTGTTTTTATAAATGCAAAAATACATGACCAAGCAAGAAAACTAGCTTAGTGGACACAACTCAATGGCCCATATCTTTGACCCAACATTATAAGAGTTCGGATTATATTCTACTAATCAAATGAGCTTCCATTAACTCCTACTTTGAAGGACATTCATAGACTAAAATCTTTCACTGCGACGGATTATTGCTATGCGTCATAGAGGACAACTCTAGTATGGAATCCATATTTAGGACAAACGAGGAGGATCGAACTCAGTAATGATTCCGACAAGGAAGATATTGACAGGAAATGTGATAGATATGCTCTCGGTTACGACAATAACAACAACCGTAACCGAAAGTATACCTATCACTTTTCCTGTCGGAATCGTAACTGTGAGTTCGATCCTCCTCGTTTGTCCCAAACATGGATTTTCATACCACAAGACTCTAGTTGTCCTCTATAACGCATAGCAATAAGCCGTGTCACAGTGAAAGATTTTATCTACCTCGATGTGGAGATTGAATCTTAAGGAAGAGATGTTGTAATTGATAACATTAAACCTAAAACTGCTTCTTTGCTGCTTCAGCAATGATCTGCTCTTTATATATTATACGCAATAGGGTTTTTAGTATTTATTAAATAGACAAATATGGTTAGTTACGATTTAAGAATATTCTCAACGAAACCTTTTCAAATTTCATATTAAATATTTAAAGAAAAAGGAAATGATTGATAGACTAGGATATTTACTTGGTCAATTCCGTATCTTATATTGTGTATTTTAGAGTATCCTAATTTATTGTTACAAATTCTTGTAAATCAGACTCAGTGATTACAAAAGTGGGCCGTTAAATGACCAAAACTGGATTATATAGTAAAACCTCTATAATTAATAATATTGGGATCAATTTATTTTAAGAAATTTTATTAATCTATCATGATTATTAATTTATAAAGGTGATATTTGAGCCAAAATATGAATTTAACGAGGTATTAATTTATCGAATATTAATTTATAGAGGTTCATTGTACTTCTTAGTAATCAATTTCCACGTTCTTTCAAAACTAGGACACAATCCATGAACATCGATAGAACCGGACAGCAATTAGTCTTTAGTTTTCCACCATGATGATTACAAAAGGGTCAAGTATGAAACATTATTGTCACTGAAAAAAGGATGTAACAAATAAGATACATTGTGTTCAGGTGAAACCAGTAAAATAGTCAGGATGATAAAAGAGTAAAATCTGTCTATCTCTACTTCATCCCTAACAGAGATATAGGCGATCAAAAGAAAACAAAAGACCGACCTTTAAAATGCTACTTCTCTCAAAAGACTTTAAAATTGCTGACCTGAACAGTTTGATTAATCATTCACTGCTCTCTGTTGGAGCCGGTTTCTTTCCATACTGCTGCAAGAAAAAAACAAACCGAGGATGAAGTTAGAAAACTATTACTCAACTTGTTCCGACATTAGAGACAGTTCGGTGAAGGAAAGAAACGAACACACACCTTTTTCCCGAAAGAGAAAGGAACATATCTGTATTTGATCATATGTTGTATCTGTTTCCTCATCGTCAGGAAAAACAACATCACCCAGTAGAAAAGAAGTATTGGCCAGAAAACAGGTACATCAAACACGTCGAAGAACGTCATCATAAAACCGATGATAAATGCCCTTATGATCGATAACCTTCATGGAAACACACACACTCAACATTCCAAATCAAATCAAACATCCAAATTACATCTTTATGCAACCTTCAACAAACAACAACATCTAAGTCGAATCTAATCGATACTTCCATCACATTCATACACAGGCTTCACGAAGTCAATCTTGTCGATCTCTTCTAAAATTTGGTTCCAAATCTTACTGCAAAATTGAATCTATCTAGCTATATCAAAGTCTACAATAGTTGAATTCCATAACAAGTAAGTCATCAAACTTCATCATCCTCTCAAGACTCAAGCGATAAAAGTGACACTCATGACTTCATCTGCAATCAAACCAATAACGTATGTCCAATTTCGCTACTAAAACCCTAGATCAGATCTAACAATCAAAGAGACGAACCAGAATTTGAACTCAGGAAGACGGCGAACAAAAGGACGATACTCATCGGATCTCCGAGTAGGAAGAGAACCACCGGTAGTGAGAGAAGCTTCAGGATCTTCTTGAGGAGAAAGAAAAGCAATGATGAGATTCAAAAGGTAGATTCCGATGGCGTAAGTGATGATGTAGAAGCCTTCCACAAAGTAAACACGAACGAAGTAGATCAATACGACACAGAGGCAAGCGATCCACCGATAGAGAACGTGAGGCACCGTTTTGTCGAGAAGATGTTGTTGTCGCTGCGAAACGGCGTGGATCAATCGGTTAACGGCGTCGGCGGGAGATGATGAGTCGGTCGATTGGAGATTATCATCGGTGGTGGTGGCGGCGGCTACCGGAGTGGGAACACCAGCCGTAGCTGCGGATTCCATCGGTGGATACTCTCTGTGTCTCTCTGGTTTGATCTCTCTCTCTCTCTCTGCCTCGGAAAATGCGACGGAGGAGACGGAGATTCGTAGATTTGGATTTGGGAATTTTTTTGGGGGATCAGATCATATCAGATCAGATCCGGTTTACGAAAGATCTACTCCATTTATTTCCCGAACCGGCTGAAATTATACGATCAATCTATCGGTTTAGGAGCGGGTTTAGTGGTTCAGGAAAAAAAAAAGTAAAGTTTAAACTTTAAACCAGTTAAACCTTTATGAAAATCTGAACAATTAAACGTTGGTGGAGAAAAAAAAGAAAAAAAAAAAAAGGAATAATTAAACGTTGGTTGACACAAAAAAAAAAAACAATTAAACGTTAATAAAGGTTAAACTGGTTCAAACTTTAAACGCAGCGGATGGAGAAGTTTAAGAAAACAAACGATTGTAAGTTTAAACATTATTAAACGATTTGTTTGATTGGTTTTAACGGTTGGAAACATAGCATAAACCGAATTAACTGATCTAAATCGAACCATAATTTATGTACAATCCGTTTCGTTAAACTTTCTTCAACACAAATGCTCCGGTTTGGTTTGGTTAAACCGATGACCCAAAATATTTATTTTATTAATTGATGAGGTAATTACCAATATTATTAATTTGGTATTATTTTCAGATATATAATCTTGTTTTTGTTCTACTTTAATTCACCAAATAGTTGGGGTTGAAAAAAGACCGTTTTCCATTCAAAAAGCTTTATAACATATTTTAGATGACCAAAAAAAAAAGTTTGATCGATTTACCACATTAATACCTACAAATGACATATTAATTAATTCCTACAAATGATATACAACGAAAATCATGTAGAACACAAAAGCTTCTTTTTTTTTTGTCCAAACAATTGCATTCAACTTAGAGTCTCAAAAGAGGAAGAGTCCATACAAACTGAAAATTACATGAAAGACAGAGATATAGACTTGAAGATTTATCCATTGAAATGCTCAACTCCAAAAAGCTTGCATTGATGGGAATATCGCTAGTCGCCTTGACGGATTCATAATGAAGTAAACTTCTAGAAATCCAATAACAACTTCTAGAAATCCAAGAACAACTTGTAGAACACAATAACTTATGTTTGAAGATTTAAGTATATGGGAGCCAACTCCAACACAAACCGAACTTTAGCTAAAATTAAATACAAACCGAAAGCTAACTTAGTTAGAGTTCTGCTAAAATTATACCCAAATCAATCGAACCAAACCAGAAAAATAAACCTTCAATGCCCAATCCTAGTGCTAGCGAGCCCAAAATCCATAAGGACGAATATTCTAACCACACTTTGTATCCTAAAAATCATTAAACAAAAAAACAAAGTGGACAAACAACAAGAAAGAACAAATTGCATCATGTGTATATACTTCGGCCTCAGAGAGACGCTTAGAGAGTTAGTGTACGATCGAACATTAATAGTGTCCATAATGGTACGATGGAGACTTAGCCGACGAGCTAATAGGGAATCTTTCAAACACTACTAAGGCCTCTTTCATGGTCGGTCTCTTTTGTGGAACTTGAGATGCACAACTATATCCCAACTTGAAAAGGCCAAGTAAAAAGTCCTCTTTGCCTTCCAATTCAGAGCGGATCGCTACGTCAGCCATTATCAGCGCCCGGTTCCCGTCTTCTACCGTCAGCCCATTTCCTACCCCGACCTCGTCTATTGACACAATTTTTCCTGTGAGCAGCTCAAGGAGGATCACTCCAAACCCGAACACATCCCATTTTGGGTTTGGTTTGAGATTGCGGAGCGACTCAGGTGCGCAATATGGAGATATAGGCCCAACGGAGCTTGGACTTGGGCTCGGTGTGGGCCCGATGGATCCGAATTCACGCGAGGATGCTGTCAATCGCTTGCTACTGAAAATCCGAGATGATCCACTAGCTCGGTTGTAGCTAGTATCTCCGGCGAGAAGCCTTTCAAGCCCGAAATCGCCGATCTTGGGCTCCATATCTTGGCCCAAAAGTATGTTACTAGGTTTCAAGTTACCGTGCACATGTTTCTTGTCGTGGAGGTAAGCAAGCCCACGAGCCAAACCTTTCGCTATCTTGAGCCGAGTCTCCCACGGTAAATGGCACGGCGACGACCCTCCTTTCCCTGTCCAATAGCATGAATAATCAAAATTTGACCAGTCGTTGACTTCATCAATACAGGTGTAATTTAACTACTACCAACTTATATGCATACAGTAGCAAAACCCTGGAAAATAATGCTAGCATGCGCCTTAATCTTATGCTAACATATGCCTTTATCATAAAGCGAGAGAAAACAGATTGAAATGTGAAAGAGATGATGTTGACTCACTGTAACGGGCGTTGACGAGACTGCCGTTAGGGACAAAATCGTAAATGACCAATTTCTCGTCGGTGCCCCAATAGAATCCACGGAGACGAACCAAATTCGGGTGAACCAGTTTACCAATAGCTCGAATATGTGCCTCAAAGTCCTTAAACCGGCGTTGTTGACTCAAACCGTTCTCACCTAACCGACGAACCGCAAGAACCGTACCGTCCTCAAGAACCGTCTTGTACATTATACTCGAACCGGTGGCTCCCAAAATGTAAGCAGAAGCTTTAAGCAAAGTTTCAACTTCAAGCTCTTTCTCTCCTCCATCAATAGTTACTAAAGTCCCTTTCTTGTTCTCTCCAATCTCTCCTGACCGTTGATTTTCGTCGTCTTCTTCTTCGGTTTCATCGGTTTCTTGATTCTTACGGAGACATGACCATTTTCCGAATCTACTTGATTGTTCTGGTGATGAAGATGATGTAGTTGTTGATGATGATGGTGATAACGAAGTTGTGTCTTTAGCTTCGTGAGCTTCTAGATTTTGATCGTTCTTCTTCTCCACGGTTTTGTTCTTCTTGTATTTGTAAACGTAGAGGAAGATAAGAGCGAGGATTCCGATTCCGGCGATATCTCCGACTATGATTCCTATTATAACTCCTGGTCTTAACCCGGTTCGAGGATTTGAGTTGTCCGGTTTGGTTTCTGAATTTGACCCGATTGATTTCGGTATAGCTGCGAGTGCAGGCGTAGACGTAGGTGGAGCGACGGCGCCGGAGACTGTTGCTGGAGAGGAAGGAATGGGACATGGGTTTCGGGTCGGAACACCGCATAAACCCGGGTTTCCAGAAAACGAAATTGATTTCTGGTTAAGGTAAACCGGAGAATCTGGGATTGAACCGGTTAAATTGTTGAAGGAGAAATCAACGGTGGCGTTTTGAGGAAAACCAGCACCGACATTCGGTGGAATCTCGCCGGAGATTTGGTTATACGAGACATTCAGGTACCGGAGATTATCGCCGGAGAAATCCGGTGGGAGTGATCCATTGAATAGATTCGAGGAAATGTCTAGAAACTGAACCGATCTCCATCCGCCGCCGGGAAACTCGCCGGAGAAGTAGTTGTTCTTCAGAGAAACCTCCGTTAATCTTCCAAGAGACGCTAAATTGGTTGGTAATTTTCCGGTAAAGATGTTATCGGAGAGATTTAACGTCTGGAGGTTGTGTAAATCTCCGACTGACACAGGGATCTCGCCGGAGATCAAGTTGTTTGATAAATCAAGAAACAAGAGCTTATCGGCGGCGAAAAACTCAACCGGTAATGACCCATTGAGTGAATTGTTGGAAAGATTAAGACTTTGAAGGTTTTGGAGGAAACCCAGATCGGAAGGAATCGAACCAACGAGGTTAGAGTTTGGGAGAGATAAAGTAACAACTCTTGAATCGTTATTACATAACACACCTCGCCATGAACAAGGATTGTCGTGGTCGTAGTTCCATGATTGTAATAAAGAGAGAGGATCAAGAAGAACAGAGTATTTGAAACTCATTAAGAGAACTCCATCAGAGTTTAAAGCAGAGGAAACAAGAAACAGAGAAGAGAAGAAGAAGAAGATCGGTGAAGCTAATTGTGTTTTCATGGCTTCCAAGGAAGCAACTGCATCGCTAGAGAGAGAGAGAGAGAGAGAGTCAAGAGGTAGAAGAAGAGAGATTTAAAGAGGAAACAGCTCACGCAACGCAAAACCAAACCTCTCTGTTTCTGCTCTCTGCAAAATCTGCAGAGTTTTTTAAATACTATAATTAATGCATTTGTTTTTCTTTTTGTTTAAAGTAATCAATGCATTTTTGCACTTCCAGTTTCCAGGGTTCATTAATCATTGAATATCAAAAATTTATTTTGTATATATTGGACCTATACTATAATAATTTGTACCAAAATATCAACGTCACTCGGATTCACATTCATATACAAGCTCAATAAAATATACAGTACGTATTTTATGACTTAAGAAAACTACGAAGATGTGCTTTTATTCAAGTGGTTAAGTCTATTTGACTCTGGCTTTTTTACCGGAGTATGACTCCACGAAGTTGCGTTACCTTACGTAGTAGAGATTGGCTATGGATCGATAAAACTCGATCCAAAGATGTTTTAAAAAAAACTAATATTTTTAAATCAATTACGGATTTTGCTATTTTTTTGTGGCATTTATGGATTTTGCCACTTTTTGAATAGTTTGTAGATTTTGCCCTCAAAAATATGATTTAACATGCATTTTACTCGTTATGTTTGAGTATAGTTGGTTCCATTTGTTCTTAGGGTTTAGTATTTAGTATAAAGTATGTATTTTCGCATAAAAAAAATCGTAAAAATGCGTACATTTTTAAGTTTATTATTCAAAATATCAAAAATATTAACTTTAAAAATGTGTAATAGTGTATTAATTTTTTTTGTTTGTTAAAGTAGATTTGTACTAAATCTTTTATAAACTACTATTAAGTATTAAAACACAGAATATTTTTATAAACAACAATTCATTGGTAAGAACAGACAATTTATAGCCCTAAAAATATAACTATTCTTTTCAAAACAAAAATTTAGCTCTCAAAATCATAAAAGAATTGGTGGCTCTAATCTTTTGCTTAACCTTCATATCATCCGGACCATACATGTTTCATACCCATTTTATTGGTATTTGGAATTGATCGTAATAATTTTTTGTGGAAATTAATATAGATAATCATAAATTTGATATTTTGTTATTATGATATACAATTGCACAAAAAGAACAAGAAGATTATGCTATACAAGAAAATAAATCGAATCTAATTGGTCATAGGATTTAATAGCTAAAAGACATAACATGATCTGCAGTACAGCTTGTTTAAAATAAATTGTTTTTTTTTTTCCTTTTGACTATAGATCCTTTGAGTTTTATGTTTCTTTTGTTCATACATCAAGTGGATTAAACAAGCAAAATCGAATCTAGTTTAGCTTTATTTTAAGGAAATTTTTAACTTTTTTTATATTATATGGTTTCGAATGTCTCTGCTGTTTTTATCATTATTAGCAGCTTTTAGGTGATGCCGTAATGGGTTCTTACAAGAATTATCCTTGTGCAAATGGCTTCCATGTGCTGCTTTTATTTGCTTGTTGCTATGATTATTAAGAGTTATTATTGCTATATCCTATATCAACCGTCACGGAGATTCTGCTTCCAATTTCTTTATGACAAATCCAGTTTTGTCTAAAATTTAATATGAAAAATAAGTTTTCTTTTTCTTTTTCTTTTTGTTCCCCTAATTATGGGATATGATGATATAATAGAGAAAAAAACATTCTTTGTTTTCGTATAAAATGATAATTTATCATATACAAAGTATATTAATATATATGGGTATCCCAATCGCGATTAGTTTAACAAACAAATTGAAGATTTAAAATTTTCATATGATGTATTGATGTTTAGTTGGATCGTATATTATTTCCGATACATATTTTGATTTTATCTAATTACAATTGTTGATCTATCAATTGGAATTAAATACTTGTAGTACAACGATTACGACGAAAAACTATACGGACAACTCCACAATAACCTATCCTAACAACACACATATCCATTCTATGACGGAATTGACAGGAAAAAAAAAAAGAATTAGTGATTTATGTAGTATACAGTATATGAGTAATGAGTAAATGTTATCAAAATAGTGGATTTGCTAAATGGCAAGGTAATAATTTTTTAGGTAAATGACAATTGATAAAGTTTTTAATAAAATTAACAATAGATGGGCAAAAATGGTTGAAATTTTTAAAAATGAATATCTAAAACATAATTGTTTGTTATTATCGTACATAGATATAATAAAAAACAATATTTAACATGCTAAATAATTACAGAAAATATAAGATAATAAGTCCAGTTGATTAGATTCCATATTTAACAAAAATAGCTTGGTATGGAAAACAAATCATACGTTATACAACACTTAGGGGGTGTTATTCGTTAGTGGATATTAATAGAGTTTAACTCTAACTCAAATCTAATGTTATTGGTTCTCAGATTGTAAATACAGATTTCAAATCAAGTGTTATTGGTTCTCAGATTTCTAATGTCTATATTAAAAGAGTTTAAAATCAAGTGTTATTGGTTCTCATATTTCTAATATCTATATTAAAAGAGTTTGAAATCTAGTGTTATTGGTTATCATATTTACAATGATCAATTAAAGTTTCATGTTATTGGTTGTTTGACATATTTTCACAAATGTTTTGATTTGAAAAGATATGAAGGAATCTGAAACTGATTTTATGTGTAAATTATAGCAATCAAAATCCTACCTTCTACTCAAGATTTTCACTATCATATTTTTATAATTATAAAACCTCATTTATGTGAATAACCAAAAATTCTTTTTTTTTCCTTTCACGTCTTCTCTCCTTCTTCTCCCCAAGGTACTCTTTCAACTTTTTTTTTTTTTGGCTTCTTCTCTCTCGTGAATTGCGTATATAATAATCAAAAATCTCATTTATATGCATCATATACAATTGTAACTTGTGGTACACTCACTTACGTGATATGGTCACATCTCACGTCCGTTGCATCATATACAATTGATCTTTGTGAGGAACAAAATCAATCTCACGTCCGTTGCATCTCACGTCCGTCACTTACTATTATTATAATTTTATTGTAGGCTTTTATATAATGGAACAAAATCTTTGTGAGGAAGATGAATCAGATGTAGATATTATGTTATTGATGGTGGTTGGATCCGTTGTTGCTTATGAAAGTCAAATCTCACGTCCGATGCGACGACAAATCACGAAAAAGGGACACGCTTATATACAAAAAGCTTTGAAAGATGATCCTATTCATTTTCGACAACTATATCGTATGAATCCAGAGGTCTTTGCGGATTTATGTTATCTTCTCCAAAAGAAGACATGTTTGCAAGGTACACCACATGTGTGTGTCGAAGAGATGGTTGCTACTTTTTTGATGACAGTGGGCCAAAATTCAAGATATTGTCACACAATGGACACTTTCAAGAGATCAAAATTCTCAACAAGTATCTCATTTTTTAAAAGTGAACATAATTGTATTTACATGTTATTAATATGTCCTTCTGTTTTTGTAGGCACATCCGAACAATAAACAACTTCGTTATGATACATTTGAATTTTTTGAAGAGTTGCAAATCATATTTGGGGAAGGTGTTGCTACTGGGAAAAATGCAATTGGATTGTGTGATAGTACGGATGCACGTACGTACAAATCTGGGGAGAATTCAAGAGAAGAATATGTGAGTGATTTTGACAACGGGTATGAGTATGATACAACAACTCATCATGAGTCATCAGAGCATTACGCACCATTTATGTCTCATGGAACTTCAGAAAGTCCTACAGAGAAGCTTCCCCCACGTAAAAGAACAAGATCTGAGAGAAATACTTCACAAAAAGAAGAAAGTCCTATGATGGTTTAGCAGTAAAATTTTGAATATAATACAACAAAGAGAAGAGAGGCAACAAAAAGAAGTGGCACAAAAAAAAATTAACGTTTGGGATGCTCTAAAAGAAATTTCAGATTTGGATGAACGTATTCGTTTCAAGGCACTTACCAAGATTTATCATTTGGGAATACAAGACGTTTTCGTGAGCATGTCGGTGGAAGAGAGGCTAGGATGGATTCAAACCAGTATGGAATAAACCAATAGTTTTTATGTGTTTTTTATAGTTTTTATTTTTTATTTTATTTATTTTTAAAGTTTTAATTTGAAATCACCAAAGTTTTATGAATAACTTGAAATAAGAAAAGAAAAAAATGGTCAAAAGTTTTGTTGGACTTCGATTAGATTATAAAAATCATTTGTTATTGAATTCAGTTCTGTTATAGAAAACCAAATGAGATCACGTATCATTGAAAATACACTTCCATCTATTTGACAAAATGAATAATGGTTCACTTTCAATGAACCCAAAACATTTGAAATCTGATTGACTTTAACTCTAATGGAGTTGACTTTAACTTCACTAACGAATAACACCCCCTTAGATTATATGAGTAAAACAATTAACAATTTTTATTTGGTAAATTTATCTGTTTTGTAAGAAATAACATATTACAAAATAAAAACCATATATTGCTTAATACTTAAATAAAAAGAGCATATTATCTTCTAAAATGATCAATTGTTACTTTCATCATGCAAATACTATTATTGAAATATCTCAATACTATTAGAGAGTGTATGCCCCAAAATTTTGGAACTCATCCATATAAACAAAAAGGGATATGTTCATCATTTCACTCGATTGCTTGTTCTTTTGCCCTTTTTTGTTTTAGCTTTCTTGTATTCTTATAAGTTAAGAATTTTTTTAGATAATTGTTTAGTAAAAAGGTCGGTGTGTTAGCTTTACCCACTTCTTAATTAATAACTAAATAAGTTGATAAAAATTCAAAACAGTTGGTGACACACCCTTTAATTACTACAGTGAATCTAATAGTAAAAGTCATGTTAGTTTTATAGTGGGGTCCTTTGCATGAGAAGAATAATATGTTTTTCCAACAACTATGAACATTAGGAAGTTATATGCAAATTCCTTATATGCTTAATCAATTCAGAGGATTTGGGTTTATTGTCTGGTTAGTGTAAGATACAATTCTCTTTAACTAGGTTT